GAACAGTAAAGGAGTAGGGCATTGAAACTTCCTAAGATATTTCAACTCCCATCAGATATTTGAAGGAGACAACTGATTCCTTGTCTAAATTTTATGGTTTCTCTTAAAAAAAACCCCAAACTAGCTTACATTAAGGAAGTAACAATGTTTTAATCCAAGACTTAAAAAAAAAATTATATTGGACACTCTGTGCCCATTTGTTTGCTCATTGCAGGTACAAAGAGTCTTTTTAAAACAGGTATCCAGAAGCTTGAAGAGCTAAAGGCAGTGGTGAAAAAAAGGGAGGAAAAGAACCAGCAGTATGATTGGCTCAGTTTTGTGATTTTTTTACCTACTTATTTTATAAATAAGAGCTTTGGACTTCTGATTTTTTCCAGAATACAGCAAAATAGTAAAAACATGGGGTTTTTTTACTAAGATAGTGTGATCTTTATCAAGCAAAACTATTTTTTTCTTTAAAAGACTCTTCAGAAGGTTGTAACCGTGACCAAAATTAGATGGACTGGTGTGTGTTGTGGTGTTCTTGGGTTTTATTAACCACAGTTTTGGTAACGAATTGCTAGTAGGTGGATGCATAGTCAAAGAATAAGCAATGTAGTACAAGCATTATACAACAAATTTATTCCAGTTATGATTGTTTATACACACTTTTTGTTTATTATATGGGATATATAGGCTTTATTACTCCCTTACTTTTCATGGGATTTTATCTATGTGAAAACTTAACAAAGTATTTAATTTGTAAGAATGCTCAGTATTTTGAGAGCTGATTTGATGTCTTAAGCATAACCATATAATTTTTGGAAAGTAATACTATACAATAAAGGAGAGAACCTATGATGCTAAAGAGGACTCACATATGTGAAAAATGTTGTAGGGGTCTGCACAACAGTTCAGGAAGAACTGCTGGGCATGGGAAGAATTTGTACTGGAGGAGTTAGTGGAGGACTGTCCCCTGTGGAAGGGATCCCATGCTGGAGCAGGGGAAGAGTGTGAGGAGGAATGAGCAGCAGAGACAACATGTGATGAACTCTCTGCAATCCCCATTCTCTGTATCTCTGTGCAACTGAAGAGAGGAGCTAGAGAATTTGGGAATGAAATTGAGCCCAGGAAGAAGGGGAATGTATATTTTAGGATTAGGTTTTATTTCTTATTAATCTGATTTGATTGGTAACAAGTTAAACTAATTTCCCTAAGTTGAGCCTGTTTTGCCCATGACCGTAATTGGTGACTTAGTCTCCCTGTCCTTGATCTCAGCCCATGAGCCTTTAGTTATTTTCTCTCCCCTGTCCTGAGCTGAGGGTAGGAGTTATAGAATGGCTTGGTAGGTGCCTGGTGTCTAACCAAGATTAATCCACCACAAATTGAAATTCTCAGCTCTAGGTTATTAACTTGAAATAAGTGTGGTGCTCCTTTAAAATAGATTTTAGGGAGTGTTTGCTTTCATGTTTCTCAGTAGTGTTTCTTAAGGAAAAAAAACAAACCCCAAAACATTTTTATCAGAGAACCATAGCATAATTTGGGTTGGAAGGGAGCTTAAACACCATGCAGTTCTAATTCCCTTAATGCCATGCCTGTATGCCCAGAGAACTCCATGGCATTTTAGGGAGTCAGTTCTTTAAGCCAGAAATAATCATTTTGGATACCAGGAAAGCATTGCCAGCTCTGGGAGCATGGGGTGCATCTACAGCTGCAACTCCTCCTGTTACCTCCTGGGAAGAAGTTTGGGAACCACTGTTCTGAGAAACCACTTTTGGTTTGTGGCTTGTTTTCAACTGGGGGAAAGTGGCATGTTTAGAAATAACTTAGAGTCTCAGGGCATGCTGGCATTATAAGAGCAAGTCCCTCTGTGGTTGGTGCTCAATCCATGCTTTCTCAGCAGTAGGTGTACAAACTCTCCTTTCCTTTTTCTTCCACCTTCCTTGGAAAGAAAAACAAACATTAAAGATAGATAAAATCTTTCCCCAAGTCCCTGCCCATTGGTTTGACTTAATGATCTTGCAGAAAATAGGGTTTTGACAGTATGTTCTATCTTGGGGAAGGGTGTCTTGATTTGATTCAACAGCTTATCAGGAAGCATTTTGTTTAAAAAAAAAAAATTGTGCTTTACTAACTGTAAATATCATCCAGATTATAACTGCAACCTGGGACATTTGCAGTGTCAAGACTCCACTTAAAAAATCCTTTGTTGTTCATAATAACCAGAAGTGTGCAGATGTGAACTCCAAATCTGCTGAGTACCTCAACAAGCTGCATTGCATGTGTCCTGTATCTGTCAGGCTGACCTATGCAGCAGGTCACATCCAGCTGCTTAGCTAAGATAAAAATACTCACTGTGTGTGCAGTGTAGCAAGTTGTTCAAGTTTTTTAGATGAATGGCAACCTGGCCATTTGGCTTGCTGGAAGTCAGACAGATAACTGCAGGGGTAGCTGGGTATTAAGTTAATGAGAAATAGTTTATTGTCCTAGTGAGTCATATTGGCAGACTTGAAAATTTTGCATGGGAGTGAGAGAGAACAAGGTCAAGGGTTAACAGTGGCTGGTTCACTTGGTTGCAAGGGTTAGAGTGCACGTGAGTGTAACTGATATAAAGGGCACGCGCTGACATAAAGATTTATTCCTTCACACGTGCTGTCTGCTCTTACTAAACTTTCCATGCAAATGATTTCCTTTCACTATTAATCCTCTGAAAGGGAGGTTACTTTAATTCATTTGTTTGCGGTCCAAAAACTTAAGATGCCCCTATTATTTGACTTAAGTTTTCTGTGCTTGAAGGGAAAAGAGTAGGAGATGTGGGTAAAAGAAAATGAAATGCATGGAAATCCCCTTTTTTCTTCAGCCTGTGAAAACAACATCCAACTCTTAGTGTTGCTTAAAAATAATCCAGTTTTGGACTTCTGTATTGACTTGGCATTGTATTTGTGATAGGATTGATAAAATTATGTGGAAAAACAAGAAAGCCTTCTTTATGAAGGACACATACTGAACTTGTTAATTGTCACCTCACTTTAGCTGAAGGTTCCTTGCTTGAAAGTCAAACGTATTTTCCACATAACAATAGTACAAAACAGTGTTAAAATGCCAAAGACAGAAATTTGCTGTATAGTTCAGTGTTTGCACTTATTAAATGGAGGCATGCGGCTCTGAACATTTGTCTGGTTTTTGGTTTGCAAAGTCGTGTTGCAAAATAGTCACTGTTGTTTCTGTGCAAATACAGATTCCCCTCTGAAGCAGGTGCAAGTTAAACAATCAGATCTTGCCTTGAAAAATACTTAATTTTTGCAGTATCTAAATGATTTGCCCTAAAGTCTCTTGTTCTTCTGTTTTATTTGGCCTGCATAATAAAGTTTTGTTAGTCTACCTTTTCCTCTATGGTAACAAGTCTGTCCCTTGCTTAAAATGCCTATTGACTGATGACTGCTTTGAGGTGAAGAGTGTGGGAAAGGGTAGTTTGTAACATGGGAATATCTTTTAGATAAGAGTTTGAGCCTTGAGAGTAGGGATTAAAAACCTAAAGTTTGATTATTTTGTAGGGATGTACAGAACATAAGGAGAATATGTTGATGTAAACAGGGAAGAAAAGCTGTTAGAATCTGAACTTACTGACATATGATGGGGTCCTGATTGGTTCAGAAGGATCTTTTAATATGAAAAGACAGGGTTAGTTTGTGAGTTGTTTGGTGGCAGTCTGTCCTCCTGAACTTCAAATAGTGTACCAAATGTACTTGTGAAGTAAGATTTCTTTATCGTGCTGTTTTTTCTTCATGGTGTCACAAGGACTTCTACAGAAGTGAAATGAATGCCTGTGTCAGTTAAAGGGCAACCTTGATTTGCAGGTCTTGCCCCAGTGCAAGTGAGGCGAGGGAAAGAAAGAAGACTGATGGCTCCATTAAGAGTTTAGGAATTTGAATCTTGAGGTCTAATCTATGCTATAGCTCTAAAACATGAGACCATTGTATAATGTTTGGTTGCAGATATGTTTGGAATGCAGCTGCTGATGGGGAGAGCAATTAGGATTAAATCTTTCTGTAAAATCAGAGTGTCATCTTTGAAGTTAATAGCTACTACTTCCTTATGCAGAAAATGACTGATCCTAAATCAAAACAGAACATGATTCTTGGTCTTCAACTGTTTGGAATTTAAAAAATTATGAACGAACAAACCAGTGCTAATTTGAGGGGAGGAAAGGAAAGATAAAAATGTGCCTGGAAATCAATTCTGGAGCTCAGTTTTTTAGGCTGTTAGTTAAAAATGTGATTACATTGTATTTTGAAAAGAGTCTCAGCAGAAAACATTCTTGTATGACTCCTAAATGGAAAAACAAGTGGTTACAGCCATTTCTTATCGATTTGTTCCTTGTTTATTCTTCCTACCACAGCATTTTCAGACTTTATTGTCAAAGGTCAAGCTCAGTTTGCTATGAAACCCAAATGCACGTGTTTTTCAGTTAATCATTTACTTTAGCCTTCCTTTAAAGGTTCCTGAAGGCTTAACACTTTAAAATCTATAGCAGCAATATTTTGTCTAACACTACTTTAGAGCCTTTGTTTTAGCTTCTACTAACTTCAGCATTTATTTTCTCTAACTTTTTAAAATATGTAGAAGAGTTACAGTCTCCCTAGTAGTAAGATTTGTTTGCCTACAAGTACATCTTTAACTGCTTCAGGTTTATATTTTCTCCCCTGTTGTTTGAAGAAAATTTTGTGATAGCTTCCCATGGTACTTGCTTTGTGTTCACCATTACTATCCCTCTTGTTCAAGGGGAAGCCTACAAGAGAAAAAAAAAAAAAAAAGGCTACAACACTCTGCCTAAGCTTGTGTTGATACAGCAAGTGTAAATCAGAAGATACTTAAATAGTTGGCTAGTTGCAGTAGTGTGGGATGTTTTGTCAGTATATGAATACTCTTTCTTCCCCACTGTTCTGCTTTCCTGCTGCTTATGCACACAAGGAGTTACCTCAGTAGAAATTCTGAACTTGTCTTTTTTTTTACACCTACAGGAATGCTGTGCTCGTAGAGCAATGTTACAACATGTTGGCAAGTTTATGCTTCCTTCCGCCTTCTTCCATTAAATTCAACATGGCATACATGAACCCAAAGTAGCATTTTGGATGGTCAAGAGGCAATACACTGAAGAGATGCTATACCTAAGAAAAGGAAAGCTTACAGCTATTGACAAAATCTGGGACTTCAATCTTTCATTCAGAATAAACTAATTCAAACTGCCTGATAACGACCTCATTAAAAAGCAGAGGTTGTGCTTTCATGCTTTGTGATATGGAAACAAGGTGTCTGCTAAAAGGTCTCTTTATAGGGATTCAGTGACTAATATTTAATTATTGGATTCAGATGCATCATAAAAACCATTATTTTTTCAGTAATAAGGTTATTCAATAAAAGGCTTACTCCTCAGAGACAAGAAAAAAAGTGTTGGAGGGAAATCCCCCAGTGCCTTGTATTCCTGTTGGATACTCCCACTAGTTCCTGGTTCATAAATCTTCATGTGTTGACCATGATCTCCGAGTGTGTTATGGAAATCTGACTAAATCCTTTACAGATAATTCTGATTTCCAAAGCACATGAAAGATAGCCTTGGTGTCCAAAAGAGTTGGTATTTCCTTGCACTAAATTATCTTTGCCCTAAGTATTTAATAATTTTCATTTAAATTAGAATTCAAAAATTTTTTTGATAGTACTGCTTTAAGGGAGAGCCCAGCTCAGATATCTGCAAACTAAACAGAGGAAAGTAAGCAAACTGAAAGCTGTAGTCATGTAACCTGAGTTCAGAGTATAGGATACTTCCTGTGGCAGCATTATGTCATAAATTTATTTTTAGTCCTTAAACACATACTTTCTCTAATGGGATCAGCAGTTCTCTCTTGGATAGAAGAAGTAGTACGCTTTTTTGACAGCAGGGATTCTAAGTGTGTCCATACATGTGTTTTAACATCTGCTTTCCTTTTCCACTGACATACTGTTCTGGGATCTGTGGATTACTCAGTAATAGGAGCAGCACTGTGGAAACCAGTTGCTCTCCCTTTTGCACCCATGGCTAATGAAATTCCTTGCAATTCATGAGAATTTACTGAGCAGGTTTTGAAACAATTTTCACAGGCAGGTGTAAGTGAAGCATGTAGCACAAGGTATTTGATGTTGTCTTTGGATAGTGATAGGTTAGATAAAAATGGGGTGACAGTTTCCAGGAGGTTGGCCTACAGAGGCTCTCAGAGGACATGGGAGGATGTTGGAATATTTGTTGGATCTAATGATTGTGTTGATCTGTTAGGTAACTAACATCTGCTGAGCAGTTCCTTCTTTTTGAAATTGCTGGCTCTCCCTGGAGAAAAAAAAAATAGTAGCTAAAAGAGACTGTATCTGGAGCGCCTTAGGCAAAGCATAACCCAGTGCTTCTGGGCATAAGGCAACAAGAATAAAACAATACTGATGGAAAAATTGCATCAGCAGGAGGGAGATACAGTAGTTCTAAGCAATGAATTTCACATCTCTAATTTTAATAATAGGTCTCATATGATCTGCTTGTTAGGATCTATTTAGTTTAGAATTCAAGGATACCCTCAACTCCTTCCTGTTTTTGGGGAGAAAAACAGTTTTAATATTATGACTAGGTTGGTGTTTTACTTTTTTTTTTTTTAACCTGAAGGAATTTGTATTGCCAACCGATTTTTTTTTTATTATTATTATTATGAAGAACTGCTGCTGTGTAACATGATCTTTAGAATCCAGTTTCTCAAGAAGCAGGGGTTCAGAACAGTACTGTTCCATAAATTATATGGAATAATTTGGGTTGGAGGAGACTCTCTGGTTACCTAATATGACAGCCTTCACTCAAAGCCAGCCAAATTAAAATACATTGGACCTCTGAGTTAGATCAGGTTGTTCAGTGTTGTCCAGTCAAGTTTTAAATACACCCAAGAAAGGAATTTCCACAACGTTTTTGGGTCACACTTGCTAAAGTTTGACCACTTTATGGTGGAATTTTTCATTGCATCTAATTGGAATATGCTTTGTTGCAGTTTCAGTTGGGTTTTTGTCCCATTGCTGTACATGACTGAAAAGAAGATAGCTTTATATCTGTAATAATCATCTGTTAGCTACGTGGAGACACCTATTAGATGCATTTTGAGCTGCATGTCTTCTGCATGCTGAACAAATTCAGACACTAGTGTGTGCTCACACAGGGGTGTGTTGGTGGCTGACCACTAGACTTGCTGTGTTCTTCTGTTATTGCTGAGTGATTAATATGGCACATTAAATTCAGTTTATGTATGTGTCTCATGAGGAGGATTGTAATCCAAATTGGTGGTAAAAATAAAGGCATCTACACCTTCAGACATCATTAGCATTTGTAGGAAAATAAGGTCATGGATAGTTTTATAAACATTTACTCTGAAGCAGCTGCAATACATAAAGAACAAAAAGAGGGGGGATAAAATGAAATATAGTTAGAACATAGAGACTGGGCAATAAATTGTTAGCACGGAAACTTATTATTAAATGCTGCATGCAGTTCTGGCTACCTGGTCTCAGAAACAGTGGGATGTACGCAATATAAAGGGGCAAAGTACATCTTCTGTACAAAGACAGACTGAATCAAAAAGTTGCTTCATTTTGGAGAAAAATTAGTATGAACAGATCTGATTAGGGCATATATAATCATGGGTTTCAAGAAGAACCTCAGCAGGGATGACTAATTCTTGTTTCTTATAGTGGAGGAATTATATATGAGTAAGTTCAAAGCCAAGGGGAGTTCTTTTTAGTGTGGTGCTGGTGCCTGAGCATGTTCTGTAACTGATTACAACAAAAGCAGAGAAGCCAAAGTAATATTGATGGAACTAAATGTTCTTGTTGAATGGTTAGATGCAACATTCTGCTTAGGCAATTTCTAAGCTGCTTATTGCTGGATATTGGGAGGATGTAGGTAGGGAAAAAGCATGCTAGCTCTTTTTCCAGAGGTCTTTGTCCAAGTACTTTGTGGTTGCCAGAAACAGCATTCTGGGCTAAATCAATCTTTGATCTACACAGCATTGCAAGTATCTTGTTGTTTTAAAAATTAAATGCCATATAAATGTGATTTAACAGGCAAAGCATTAATTAATACTAGCTGGAGACATGCAAATTATTTCCAGAAATAACTTTCAACACTACTTTTGTTTCCTCCAGAACAGAATCTCTCAAATTCTCAAACTATTCTCATAACAAATCTTTTTGTGGTAGCCAATCTTCTGCTTTGCTGAAGAGAATATCCATGTGTGTAAATGGCCGTAATAAAGCACAGGTCTTTTACCATTACATATTTAAATTATGGAGTTTTTTGCTGTAAGAAGTTGTGGATGCTGAAAATACACCAGTGTTCCAGGGAAGCTTGGCAGTTCATGGAGGAGAAATTGCCAGAATATTGAAAATACAGTGGAAAAACAAGTAATGTCCAAATTTATATATAAAGAAAAACAAATAATAATAGGCTTATGAAGTCTCTCAGTTATTAATGATTTGAAGCTGGGAGAATACATACAGGCTTCCTTATGCTTGCATAAATTGTAACTAATAACTTAGTGAAAGCTAAATATTATTCAAGCTTATTGAGCTTTTAGAAGTTACTAAGTGCCTTTATTTTTCTTGCCTCATATTGCTTGTCTTCTGGACAGCAGCATTTTGTTCCCTTTCTCAACCAGAACAATCTCAAGGGAAAATATTAAAAAAAAAAAAAATCTTGAAGCTTGTTAAAGAATGAAGGGTGTTACTACTGTGTTGAGCCAACCACTTGAAAGACACTTGAGGATAAAACTGCTAAGTTCCTTACTGTAATGCTTAGAAAAATTTGATTTTAAACATGAATGTTTTGGACAAGTAGCCTTTATTTAAATTTGTGCATGATCAAGCATTCCAATGGAACATGATAATAATGTTTTCTTTTTTGTTGTCCTGTAAATCCTAGTGCTTGACTCTAAAAAATGGACTAATAAATTTAATAGCTTGGTTTATAATTTGGCAGATGAATATGTGTTGTGTAATCTAACTGTGACAATGGGCATAATTCTGAGAATGCTCAGATATTAGATGCTATATTTATAGTAAAGACACTATTTAAAATAATGTTTAACATTTAATGAGTTGTGCTGGAACAGCAGCTTATTTTTGGAGTGTGTGATATAGTTGCATTGCTGTAGACTTTTGAACACAGGAAATAATTAAAGAAATATCAGAATATATGTTGAGATTTTCAGTTAACTGTTTGGGGAAGAACATGTAGCTGTGACTTTCATATAATAAAGTTTGAGTTTTTGTTATCCATTAGGTGTTTCAGTTGCACAGAACAAATAAACAGTTGCTCTCTGGTCAGATACTTTTATCTTAAGGATGACTACTTTTCCATCTTCTAGGGAAGCCTGGGAATTGTTAAATCTACAAAAAATGATGTATTTTGAGGAGCTAATTCTTAACTTTCTGTGCCTTAAGGAATATTTAAGTCCTTAAAGTAGAAATAGGTTTTTTCTATAGTAATCAAAATGTTTTGCGTATGAATATGAATGCAGTTATATGTAGCAATTAGGTGCTGTATTAGTATCTGAATTAGCAGCTCTGGCCAGCTTGTGCCAGGAAGGCAGCCAGTAGCCTGCAGGAGAAATACTTTAATTAATATGTAATAACTGCTCTAGAGAGCTCTCAGTATTCTGGCAAGCTACACTTGTAATTTCTTGTATTACTTAGGAGAGTTGTAAAATCTGTTTGAAAAAATGTGGAAGACAATTCAATATACGTTTTTCATACTGCATGAGAAAGTGTGCTTGAAAACTTACTTAAATAAAGTGAGATCAAAAATTACTTGGATCTATTGAATGTATTTTAAAGAAACAAATTTCTTTATAGAATGAAGGTATCACAGCAATAATTATTTGCATTAGGGCATTTAAATATTTACTCATGTACTGTTCTGTTAATTTTTGGTGCAAGGTTTCTTCACAAAGGAAGATGGCAGTACATTTTCTCGATCCATGTATAGATGTGAATTTTAACTTCAAGAATATTATTTTCAATAAATAATAAAGCTGTTCATACAAGACATGCCAACCATATCTGTAAATTACATTTTTGTAGGCTAATGAGAGCAACCTACTAACCTGAAGTAGTAATTTAAAGGGCTCCAGTTTTCATTAGGTTGCAGCATGGCCTCCCACTTCTGCAGTGGGACTTATTCCCACATGACCATTCCATTCTGAAATGCTTCAGATAAGGCATCATCATTTATCTTAACTGTCTGTTGTGTTGAAAACCAGTGGAAACCTTCTCTTTTAGGCTCTGCCCTGTTATTACTGTAATAATAAGAAGAGAGAATCAAATTATAAAAAAGGCATAGTTTTTTCATGGGTACCTGGAAGCATAAAGAGACAAAACCAATGTGTTGTAAGTTTAATTTGAGCTGAATGTCTTCACTTCAGCTTTTTATATTCCAATTATTTTATTAGCTGTATAGGCCATTAAAAAACACTGTAAACCTTGACTTCACTAAGGAGAATGGAAATAAAATCACAGCCTGTAGCTCTAAAGTAATTTAGTCTGTTACTTTATGCACACTACTGAAGCTCAGTTTTCATAAGGCGCCTTTCTTTGCCTGTTTTGTCTCCATGAATAGGGCCCATGTGAGATTGGATTCTCAAAATCAGTCATCTCTGGTGGGCTTGTTTCTTATCTGTTGCCTTTTTATCTTTTTGTACGTGGGCAGGAAGGTGACAGGTGGTTCAGCCATTCCTTGGTAACTTCATACCACTTGAAACTTGTGATGGATGCTTCTCAAGACTTGGCTGCCTCTTGACCTTGCAGGAGGGGGACTCTGTTTCTTCGTGCTGTCCTGCAAATCATGCAGAGGTGCTGAGGATGGTTCATGGTGGTGTAGCCACCATTTATTTGGGAAAGTGACAGGCTGAAATGGAGATTCTGTCCCTGCTGTTTGCAGTTTCCTTTGGACAGTAAAACTGCAGCAAATGCAGGGAAGGACTAGACCTTTCATAAATTTGGTCTTTGCCATTCAAGCAGTGTCAGAGGATCTTTGCTCTTCCTACTCTCTTATGCTGTTCCTTCATACAGCTTGAGGTTTTGCTGCAGAGGTACAAGGCTGGCAGGGCTATCGTGTATGGGGTAGTCCTACACAGGAAATGGCCATAAAAGCACCTCACTCTTTAGATTGTATCTTGAAACTCTGTTATTTTATCACATGATCAAAAAATCCCAGTTAACACACATCCCTCCCTCCCTCCCTCCCTCCCTTCCCCAAACAGGCCATGGTTTGTTGAAAGCATTGTTTGGCCTAAAATAAAGGTTTTGTTACTTGTACTCATTTCTGGTTATCTCTAGCTATCTATTCTCTTGTCTTTCATTTACATTGTAAACTCCTGGAAGAAACAAGTTTTTGCTCGTTGGCTTCTTTTTCTGTCTTTAGTGCCTTGCACGATGAGGTTTTAGACAATGTGGAGAGTTCATTGGCAGTTCAATTGCATATCTCCTAAGCCTTGGTAGTGACAGATCTTCTTGCAAATATACTTAATTTAGTCCTGTGGTTATATGCTTTTCCAGATAATTTTATTTGCGTTCATCACTTAATAACAATTGTTTATCTAACTATGTTTTTAGGAAAAATATTCTAAACAAAATTTCAATTACGCAAATTTAAAACTCTTTCAGATTGAAAGAGTTGTCCTGTCTTCTGTACCATTAGAAATGAGGCGAAAGTATTTTTTTCCAATTAATTAATTTTGAATTAGCAGCTTTTCCCACTTCTTGTTCAGACCTTCAGAACAATTTTTTTTCTTCCATATAGACTGGGACATTTCCGATATATATGCTACTATACATATCAAAAATATTAGTTGTGACTAGTAGCTGTGCTAAAAAAACCCATTTGAGGTTGAAACTATAGTGAACTTACCTGAATCAGATCTGAATTATCTAATAAACCAAGTCCAGTTTTCACAATGTCTATAAAGCTCAAGTAGTGTCAAAAGTAGTGACATTTTCCCATTATGGATGGAAGTTTACTAACTCAAGTTTGTTTAGTCTAAAGTAAAATCACATTCCTAATGTTTATATTACAGTCTGAAAGCCTATTGATTACTCAATATTGATGTTCAGTATAATCTACATCTAGTAATGAAGTTTAAAAATTATTAATCTTTTCTCAGCAAATGTACCTGTTTAAAGTATTCAGGTCCAGCATTAAGTCAAGTGAAATGAACTAACTTATGTCAGAATGGATATGGATCCTCGAAAATAGTCATCTTTAATGGCCTAGGCATCAGTTTGAATTTTAGGTTAGTTACTAGACAAATATCTGTGTGTTTATAAACAAAAAAGTAGAAGTAATAGCTACAAAAAAGTTAATTGCATTCTTTGAGCTGATAAAATCTAAATTAGTTGATTATGTAAATTTTTAGGCTTTTTTAACATGTTAAGTAAATACATTTTAAGATGTAATTACATGTTTTTAAAATAGTTACCCAGTTGCTACCCAGCTTTATTTCAGCAACGTAAAATCCTAGGTGAAAACAAATATTAACTGAAAGCTGAAATCACTTGGTTTCTAAAATGTTGTCTTTTTTTTTTTTTTTTTATTTTGCAGCATGGGTGA